ACCATATAAAAATTTGAACACCTTGAAAAGAAAATAACCATGAACAATGTTTAAAGGGGAAAAAACTGACACATTGAGAATAATAATATTCAATGAGATAGAAAAGCTTATTTTCTTACCATATATATGTATGTGTATATGCACACATATATGTAATTAATAACTCAGTTAGAAAAAGGCCAGTTTAAATACTGGTGCCCAGAACTTCATAGCACATAATGAATATTTCTCCCAATTTTTAAAATTCATTTACTGAGATATAATTTGGATACAATAAAATTCACTGATTTTAAGTATAAAGTTTGGTGAGTTTTAGCAAATGCAGATGGTTGCTAATTACTATCACAATGAGGATACAGAATTTTTTTCCATCGCACAAAGAGTTGCCTCTCTCCCTTTTGCAATTTCTGTATAGCACCAGGCATGGGGGAACCTCTAAGTTACTTTCTGTCTCTGCATAGCATTCAGAGAGGCTAAAGTAGCTAGACTTTACAGAATAAAGGATTTGATCTTATCTATAATTTCATATATATAGAATTAGTATGAATCTTCTGCTTCTGGCTTTTGAGATTCACCTGAAATGTGTTTCAAGTATCTGTGGTTCATTCCTTTTTTAATGCTGTATATCACTATTTGTTCATTTATTTGTCTGTTGATGAAATTTTTTTTTTTTTACCAATTTGGGGCCAATATAAATACAACTGCTCTAAGTCTTTGTGAGGACATGTTTTCATTTCTCTTGGCTGAATACTTAAGGAGTGAAATTTCTAAATCATATGTAAGTTAAGCATTAAAAGAAACTGCCAAATAACTCCAAATGGTTTATCATTTTACAGCAGAGTATGAGTTCTAGTTGTGCCACATTCCTGTCAGAACCGAGTATGGTCTTTCTTTTTAATTTTAGCCATTCTTACAGAGGCAGATTGGCATCTCTTTGTGACTTCAAGTTGCATTTCTCTAATTATGTTGAGCATATTTTCATGCCTTTTTTTGCCATTTGTATGTTTTCTTTGGTGAAATGTCTGTTCAAATAGTAGATAGCCTAAGGCCTTTGTCTGCTAATTCCATCATTTCTACTATTTCTCGGCCTGTTTCTATTGACTGATTATGCACACACTCCTCCCAACTTATAAATCATGTTTTATTCATACCTCTTATTTTTGTTTGCTTCAGGAACATCGTTCAATTTTACCATACCAAGTACTAGATTTTGTTTTTTCTTTAAATAATGTTGAATTGTCTGTTTGCTTTTCTGGAAAAATTAAGTTATTTGTGGAAAGTTAGATCCTTTTGATACTTGTTTTTAAGTTGTGTTAAGGCAAATCCAGATCAATTTTTAGTCTAGAGTTAAATTTACCTCAATACTAAACCCAATTTTGAGGACTCTATTAGATGTTTCATGTGTTAAGAGGTGTCCACTTTGGCTGGTGAGAAAACAAAGATTCGCAGCCCTGTGTGAGTTCCAGGAGCTGTTTTACATGCTGCTTTCTGGTGGTTCTCCCGTGGTGACCCGAAATCTACCCATTTGGACTCTGAACAGCTTGAAGGACTTCCTCAGTAGATCTCTGGAACTCTCTGTCCATGTGCCTTCCTCTCTGATGCTCTGCTTTAATTCAGCCTTCCTGAACTCTGATCTCTGTCTCCTGAACTCTGGATAATTTTGGGGTTTCCTTTGGTTGCCCCTCCAATAGTGATACCTGGAGACTTCCTTGAGACAGCAAGCTGGGGCTTCTGTAGGATTACATAATTTTTTTCCCTCCTCACAGTATGACAGTCCTGTACTGCCTGTCATCCAATGTTTGACTATACTTACTTGATTTTTTTCTGGTTATTTACTTGTTTGCAAGCAGAAGATAACTCCTGTGGTAGTTAATACTTCATGGATAAAAGTGTGAGTCATTTTGTCTTCCTATTTTCTTTTCTCTTTTTCAAAGATTTATTGATTTATGCATACAAGAACTGGGGGACAGGCCAGAGGTTTAGAGGGTGAGAGGATTCACAAAAGACAGAGTAGGGAGCAGACCAGGTCAATCCACTGAAACACACTGCTGAGGGAAGCAGCGGGTAAGACGGGAGAGGTCTGCTATGCCATGTGGGTCAGCTCCCTGGCCAAGGATGGAGCTTGTGCTGCAGTGGCTGTGGATAGCTTGATGGTGCTGTGCTCTAATCTGTTGTGCCACCAGGGAGGGCCATTGTCTTCCTATTGTCAATTTTTTTTTTAAAGATTTATTTATTTGTAAATACAGAACTGGGGTACAGACCAGAAGCTCAGGGGCGGCGAGAGGCTTCACCAGAGACAGAGTGGGGAACAGAACAGGCAGATCGACGAAGTACACTGCTGAGGGGAGCAGCGGGCGGGCCAGGAGAGGTCTGCCACGCCATGTGGTCACCTCCAGGGCAGGCGGGAATCGAACTCATGCGGAAGCGGCTTTAGATTCTCAGTGCTGTGCTTTAACCCGCTGCACCACCAGGGAGGGCCCTATTTTCAATTTTAAACCCCCCATGGGAGAACTTTGGGCTACTTTATGTCCCGGGTATTCCAGGAACCAGCAGAGGTAGTAAAGACATGTAAAAAAAAAATGACACTTTCTATGACTGGAGTGTGGGGACAACTATTGCTGAATATAAAATAGAGCAGTATTCCCAGAAGAAAGGGGAAAAAACAGATAATAGGCACCTGCTTACAACTGCATTCCATGTGAAAGAGAACTTAAAGTGAGTCAACTGATAGGTCAGTAAGAGTCCTATTGTCTAGAAAATTGTGTCCATTCCTTGGCCTTACATTTTCTAGGTTCAAGGACAAAAGGGAGGGGTCTAGAATGAAGAGATGTAATATGTTGCACTGAACAAGATAGAGTAACTGAAAAGCAACTTTCTTCTCTCTCTGTTCTTTCCCCTCCTCTGCCCCTAGAAGCTCACTCTGTCAAGTGCATTTCTTCTCTTCCACCTCCCCTGCATCCCTCAAGATAGCCAACAGCATTTCTGACCTTCCCAGAGGATGGAGGTGGAGAGCATGCATGGGTGGAGGGGATGGGAAGTTTAGGAGAGTCTTATTCCCTGGTAGTGCCCTGATTTATCTAGAGAGTTTTCCAAGCTTTGCCTTGTGGAGTGTTGCTTAACCACTGTGGGAGAGACACAGATCAAGCAGAAAGTTTTATTATGTTGTTACAGTCATCATTCCCTGGAAAGAACACAGTATGCCACAAAGGGCCACTCAGTAAACACTGGGGTGAGTTATGAGGCTGAGGGAGTAAAGGCAACTGTTGATTCTGTGGGAAGAAAAAACAAGGTAGGACAAGCAGTTTCAGGATGCACCGATTTGAATAAATTTAGTGTGCTCGAGGGCTTTGGAGCTGTCTCTGGTTGTCCGGTAACTGGCTGTGGGATAATATAGTAGCTTGAAGACTGATCTGAGAGGTGGTTGTGAGTGTGGATGGAAGTGACTGCCTAATAAGGAGAACTAACTGGCCTCTAGCCAGATTCTCAAAACTTGGTCACGACAGCATTAAAAAAAAAAAAAAAAAAAACTCACCAAAACTATTTAACTATATTACTGGTATTTGGGGTTCCTTTGTGCCTTTTATAGATGATGCCTCACTTGCAGCTCCCTAATGGGCAAAGTCTTTCTGCTCTCTCGCTCTCTCTCTCTCTGTCCCTAACATACACACACACACACACACACACACACACACACACACACACACACACACACACACCCCCCACTCTGCTACCCAAGATAAACTCCCAGCCTCTATCTGCCAAGGTCTAAAGTTCCTTGTCTCTGTTAGGAAACTCTTTTCGGCAGGGTTCCTTTAAAGAAAGGTTTAAGTTAGCCCTCTCCTGTGCCTCTCACATCTGACCCTGAATTATACGCGACATGCGCACATGAGCACGCTCCTGAGAGAGCACCATGGACCAAGGCAAGGAAGGTCGCGGCAGAGTTAAGGAGCAGAGGGCAAAGATTTTCCATGTGCAACAGAATAAAGTGCCACGACTTATATACAGGCCAGAACTAGGGTGAGGAGGGTGAGGCACTGTCTCAGTGGACTAATGTAAGGATGTGCCATAAATTACAGTAATCAGGATTAATAATATTTAATGCAATACTTGAAAGTACGTTTGGGATGCACACTTTCACCTTTCGCCTAAGGTTTAGCAGGACACCAATGATGCTGTGCAGTAGCAACTTTTAACTTCCTCTGGGGCAGGCTGTGACCCGGAGGCCCCTCCACACAGAAATGCTGGTGCAGCACTCTGGGAAGCAGCCTTCCTTAGGAAATAAGCTTTTGCCTGAGCTTGAAGAAGACAGTGAGACATGGGGAGTGAGAACAGGGAAGGGTACAGAACACATATCAATCGAAAATGGGGTCCTAGAACAACATTTGGAGAATGGTGGTACTAATACATTTGCAGGCAGAGATCTGATCCTGTGGGGTCTCTAGAATTATAACTAGGAGAGACACATGCCCAGATTTGTTCCTTAAGCAGAAAATCCCTTGGGCGTTGGGGACAGATTGGTGGGTCGCTCTGCAGTGGGTCGGTCTGAGGGGAGCACAGTATCCCACGGAGGGATACTATCCCAACCAGAACAAGTGTAGACAGAATCCCATCTTCAGGCCTCAGTTTACCCACTGTAACACTGAGACTGGGAAGGCACCTGGTGTCCGCTCTGCCAAATGGGCCACCTCAGGGTTCCACTGAACTAGGGGGTCACCGGGGCGTGCCGAGGAGCCGCCCCAATTCGCCAGCGGCCGGGACGAACAGGGCGGGGCGGGTCCCGCTGGTGCCCG